TCACGTCCCTCCTAGTGAAATAGTTTTTCCTAATATCCAACCTAGACCTCTCCCACTGTAATTTTAGACCATTACTCCTTGTTCTGCCATCCGTCACTACTGAGAACAACCTCTCTCCATCCTCCCTTCAGGAAGTTGAAGGCTGCTATCAAATCCCCCCTCACTCTTCTGCAGACTAAACAAACCTAAATCCCTCAGTCTTGCCTGATAGGTCATGCGCTCCAACCCTCTAATCATTTTGGTCGCCCTCTGCAGGACCCTCTCCAATGCATCCACATCCTTTCTGTAATGGGGAGCCCAGAACTGTACACAGTATTCCAGATGTGGCCTCACCAGGGCCAAATAAAGGGGAATAATCACTTCTCTGGATCTGCTGGCAATGCTCCTCCTGGACCGGGCTTGATTCACCCTTGTAGCCCCCACTTGGCCCAGACAGGCGTAGTTCCCCTTTTTCTTGATTCGCTACAGCACCCTGAACTCCCTCTCCCATCTCATCCAGATCTCCTGTCCCAGAACAGAGGCTCGATCCTCCACACCAACCCAGACAAGTTTTTCCTTCAGACATGGATCCTCAATAGTTCCACGATGCTGAGGCCTCAGGCTCCCATTAGGGGTGTAGAAGACTAGTCAACTATCTGATAAGCATTTGCTTATTGGATAGTCTTTTGACTAGTCAACTAGTCAATATGCCCAGCCTTGCTGCCTCTATGAGGTTGTGTCTAGACTGCAGGGTTTTTTCAAAAAAAGTGACCTCTTTTCAAAAAAACTTTCCCTGTATCTAGACTGCAGCCGCGTTCTTTCAAAATTAAATCAGAAGAATGCGGCGGTTTTTTCGACCTCAGTAACCCTCATTTTACGAGGAAGAGTGCCGTTCTTCAAAAGTGCTCTTTTGAAAAAAGGCATTATTGAATGCAAACAGGGCTTTTGAAAGAGAGCATCCAGACTGCCCTGGTGTTCTTTTTTGAAAAAGCTGCTTGCTTTTTTGAAACTACTGGTTGTAGTCTAGACGCTCTTTTTCGAAAGAGGCTTTTTTGAAAGTATCTTTTGAAAAAGCCTCTTTTGAAAGAGGCTTGCAGTCTAGACATAGCCTGAGATAGACGCAGCAAATGGGGGGTGGGGGAAGAGGTACTTCAAAGTGGCAGACTTTGAAACCCCAAGGTGGCCTCTGCACAGCTGATCCGGAGATCAGCTGTAAGGCAGGCTTCCCCTTTAAAATGCCCCCTCTGTGCATTTCAAAGGGGCAGCTGCCGTGGAGCCCGGGGTCAGCTGGGGACTTTCAGTGCACTCCAGGCTTCTTGCGGCATTTCCCCAGAACCTGGGATCAGCTGGGGAGTCCCCAGCTGATCTCGGGTTGCGCACCGCACTTCCCCGGGCTGCAAGCAGCATACAGCATAGCATGGAGCCCAGGGTCAGCGGAGGACCCCCCTCCCGCCCCGCCTACCCCAGGCTCCATAGCTTTGAAATGTGCATTTCAAAGCAGACATGCTGCGTGCAGCCCGGAGGCTGGCCCGGGCTCTATGTGAAGTTCCATGTTCCTCCTTTGAAATGTACAAGACCCCAGTAGGGGCTGTTGTACATTTCAAAAGCGGAATGTGGAAGTGCCTGTGGACTAGTAAATTAACCGCATTTTAACATCCTGAGCTCCAACCCCATGAAACACATTCTCCCCAATAGCAGCCCTCCCAATGCATGTAATACTTGCCTGCAGAAATAGAGATGCTTCTCCACTTTGTGCACCCAGAGACAATCTAATCCATTCGAGGCATCTCTTCCACTCATTCTAGATTACCTCCTGAAGCTGAAGAACCCCAGCTTATCCACTGAGAGTTGATCTAGCTGCCCTCTTGAAGCTCCACATACAAATTGATGGAGTTTCCCTCTTCACCCATCCAATCACTCAAAGGTTCCTCAAAGGCATCCAAAATATATTCCTCCTTACCAGACCACTCAACCCATTCTGGAGCCTTAATCTTGTTCTCAAGACCCTACTGTTCAAACTGACCTACCATTCAAACCTCTAGCCACGTGCTCACTCCTGCACCTGTCGATGAAGCTTGCATTCCTCGTGGCCATCACATTCATAAGATTGGTGCCCTTATGGCAGATAACCTCTATATTATATTCACCAAAAATAAAATGACCATACAACTACATCCCGTCTTTCTCCCTAAAGTTGCTACGGCATGCCACATTAATGGACCTACTATATTGCCAGTATTTTACCCTAATCTTCATAATGATCAACAAGAGATATTCCATATTCTAGAAGTTAGGTGTGCTTTGGCATTCTATATAGATAGAACCAAACTCTTCCACAAATCCCCACAACTTTTTATTTCCATAACACAATGCCCAAAAAGCATGTCAAGCTCAGTGCAGCACTTATCCAAATGGATATCCAACAATATACAGACATGCTACATCTGTCAGATACCACTTCCTGGTGGTTGAAGAGCTCACACTACATGGGCGGTAACTGCCTCCACTGCTTTCTTACACAGTGTGCCCCTACAGGACATCTGTTGAGCAGCCACGTGGTCCTCACAACATACCTTTGCAAGACATTATGGCTTTGTCTCAGGTCCTAATGTGCACACCACAGCTGCCTCCACAGTCCTAACCTCTGCTACCACTCAGCCACTCCGAATCCCACCCTCTGGAATGGACACTGCTACATAGTCACCTATAGTGGAGCACCCACAGGGACAACACTCAAAGAAGAAAGAGGAATTACCATGTGCAGTGTAGTAGTTCAGGACAGCAATTCAGTAAATTCAGGATTTACTGTTGTGGCATCCCGACAGTCTCCTACTCCATCAGTGATGATAAATGTTCGGCTGCGTGTGTTTTCATATGCTCTCTCAGTATATCATGCCAGCTGTGCACAGGTAGCTAGCATAATAGACTTCACGGGAGTCAAGTTTATTGTCGAACAAAATACATTAATAGTCGTCACTAGCCAGATGACCTCTGAGCCCTTATGCATTTGTACCCATGACAGTGAATGCAGCTTAATCCATAGTATGGATTTCACTATTGCCCCCTAGGCTGGACAAAGAGTTATGTCGAGGTACCCTAACATTTATTAACAGAGATAAACAATCTATGATACACCCCTTCCGTATCATCGTATGCATTAATGACACATTGGGTACCTCCCTTTGTACTTTCCTCCAAAGCATTCACTGCCTGTTGTTATGCTTTCACTCTTGTTGTTTGAAACTGTTCTCTCAGGTTGTCGCGAGGTACGCCCCTGGCATGGGTGGCACCCCCTCTTTTAAGGTCTTGTTGCCCCTTTTGGGACCCTAGGTCAGGGCATCCAGGGTATTAACAATATAAAGTCTGTGCCCCTCTATCATGGTAAATACGGCACTAACAATCCCAATATAAAGCCCATACCCCTCTATCAGGGAAATACGGCTTTGGAGGCCTAGCCGCCCAGAAAAGCCTCTCTGGGACCAGGGGTTGATTATCCAGGGTAAGGAAAATGGGTGGTAGGGGGACCCGGGCCCTCCCCCTCCATCGGGTCCCAGCCTAGGGCCCTTGAGGCAGGGCCTATGGCTCCTGCCTGCTCGGCGAGGAATCCAGCCGATACACACCGAGCCGCGCTTTTAGTGCTTTGCCCTGGGCTGCTTCCTACCACGCCCTGGTTTCCCTGTGGCCTATTTGCCTCCGTGTCAGTACTTGCCGGGGCTGCCGTCGGGGTTGCGGGCGCGCTCCTGCCTCCCTGGGGTTGGCGGCTGCTGGCTGTGCCTCCAGGTCGGGCACAGGCGGCGACTCCGGTCTCAGCTGCTGCAGAAACACTGGCACAGCCTGGGCTACTCCTTCATCCTGTTGCCTCCCTGGCTGGAGGGCTCTCTCTGCTTTTATACCCAGGCTCTGCAGGGAACATGCCCAACAGGGCTGGAGGGGAGGGGCTTTCTCAGCCAGCTGGGCCTGGGCTACCCCCTGCCGTCCAGTGTGGGGCCTGCCTGCACCGTCACACAGGTACTCATTTGGGAGTCCTTGTACAGTTCTGGTGGTATGTATTTACATACTTCCTGTGCTTTTATCAGTGCTAGCAATTCTAATACCAAGAGATGCTGACTTTCAGGCAAACATCTGCTTTTGACATGATCTGTCTATTACTCATAATATAACTCTTGCTTACTTTGTTTCAAGTACCGGGCCCATGTTTCAGGCTCTTTCTTTCTCCTACATGCAGTAATGATGGTACTTCGAGATGTGTGTCTCTGTGGGTGCTCCACTACCCATCCCTTGTCCCTTCTACTTCGGAGAACTCACTTTGCTCTGCAATAGAGAAGGAACAGAAAGTGGCACATCTGTGCATGCACACTGTTAAGGTGCAAAAACCTTGAGGCACCTATGGGTGAGTGTACAGCCCTGCTGACTTATTGCTCAAAAATCTCTGACCTGCAGTGCTAGGATGACTTGACACCTACAGTGGAGCACCCATGGGGGACACAACTCAAAGAACTACCATTACTTCACAAGGTGAGTAACTTCTCTTTCTGTGCTGGGGATTGTGGAGGACTAGTCTAAATTATTTGCAAGGCCAGGGGAAGACGCGAGAGACATGTTGCCTCTCACTGGCATGTGCCCTGTAACCACAGGAACCTTCCTCCTCTTGTGACAGAGAGCAAAATCACACAGGGAGCCTGTTCCTTACCATGCCCATTCACAGGCTCCACAGCTGACCCTCCTGCCATCATGTTTGTTGTAAGGAGTGTGCCTGGGTACTTGTCACCTGCTGACCTGGAGTTAGCAGCAAGATTTGTGACATACGGTATATTCAAGGTGGTTGTGGTGCGTGCAGTTTACAGGTCATAATGCTGTTATGTGTGACCTTAAAATTCCATATTATGTCATGGTATTTTATTCTTCTCAGATATTTTGTTGCATCAGGAACATGCAGAAACATCAGATGGAAGTGATACAATGTGCTGCTAGAGCTGAAGTAGAAAAAATACTGTTCCTATAATTTCATTTTCTTTTTCCAGTTTACAACTCAGCTGAACAACTCTTTCACCTCAATTTCAGAGGATTGTCTTTTTCTTTTCAATTGGATTCATGGGCTGAAACTCCAAAATATGAGGTTAGAAATCATTCTTAGTTAATAATATTCTGCTTGTTTGTCTTTGTTACCTTTTCAAAATATCACCAATAGTCTTTCTTGCTTGCAAGCAAATCAGACCCTTTATCTGGGTGAAATTTAAATCTTAAACTATGCTCTGACCCATTTTCTCAACCTTGAGCGTTATCATTTCAGAGCCAAAGATCATGTTTGATTTTTAGCAGAAGGTTGTAGATGGAGGATTTGCTTTCCAAACTAATAGGGAGTAGTATTTCCATTATTGAGCAGAATCTCTAAAGATTGCTATTTAATGTGAACACCCAATTAATATCTGAAGTGTTTCCACTGAAGTAAGTCTTGTTTTTGCTTTAGTAAATCTCAAATGAGCTATACATTTTGTTTTAATTCCTCCAAAATGTCTGTGCAATTAATTAGGACAGAGTGCAGAATACAATTGCTAGATGAGATAGTCTAGAAATCAAAATAATTGTGTTATGCAATGTAAGTTTCATTATTCACTAAACATTTTGATAGGTTACTAAATGCATAAATGGGTCTAATCTTATACCCATTGAAACTGGTAAATGTCTCTGACTTTACTGGAAAAAGATCAGATCTATTGTGGCAATGTAAAAGGAGGCATAAGTATGATTCATTGGCATAACCTAAAAGCAATACATATTGCACAGTGCTGGATTGCATGGCAAAAACTAAAAAGGAGTGGGAGGGTTAGTTTAGCCAATATAGTGGCATATGTTCTCATCATATAAGCTCATTTTTAAATCACTAGACTAGCTGTGTGTAGAGAGAGCATTTACAGGTTATGGGCATTGCAAAGAAGCTTAATGACTTTTGTATGAGTCTTCAATAAATAGGAGAATAGAATAGGGTGATACCCAGGCAAAAGGTATCCTTTCTAGATAATTAAGTGAATAAGGTGTCAAAAATACTGAAACAAATTGATACACCAAATTGCAATATATCAGCAGGATCAGATAGTATTCACCCAAGAGTTCTGAAAGATTGTAAAAATTGGTTGCCTGAACTGCTTAGTGCAAGATTTTAAAATATCAAGTATTATACAGGAAACTGGAGAATAGCCAATGTTGTGCCTATTTTTTAAAGAGCCCGTAGGAAAGATGTTAACCATTGCAGACTCATGCATGTTATTTAAGTACCAACTTTGACTAACTAACTGGAAAACACAATTAAGGCTAATTTTAACACATCTAAACAACAAGAAGTTCTGTGGCACCATATAGACTAACACATGGGTTCCAAAACTGGGGGGGCCGAGGCAACCCAGCTCCCGCTCCCCCTCCCCTGTCAATCTCCCCCCCAAGTTTCGCTGCTATTTTTGTTTTTCGGCCCTGGGGGGCGTGAGGGTTTCTCAAAAGTCAAAAAGGGGGCGTGATGCCGAAAAGTTTGGGAACCTCTGGACTAATGGATTTATTGGAGCAGAAGCTTTTGTGGGCAAAGACCCACGTCATCAGATGCATGTCTTGGTTCTGCTTTTAACAGGGGGTTGGACTTGTAGAAGAAAACAGGCCTTCACTCTGCATTTGTGAGCAACAAGTAGTCAGAGACAGTTTATTCGAGCAATATTGCAAGGGAAGAAGCTGCTGCTAGGCAGATCGTCAAATACAAAACAATTAGAAGCCAATATATATACTGACTGTTTATATATAATAACAATAAACAATTATTCCCTTTTCCATAACAATTCTCTTCAGATGCCACCTTATCTCAAGGTCTTCACTAGAGTCAGCATTCTATCCTTATCTCAAGCACAAGAGAGACAAGAGGCAAAAACAGTGTCTCTCTCAGTACTCTGTGTTGTTAGGTCTCAGAGTTAGCATGAGTTAGGCTAACCAAAAGGTCAAAATGGCTACATACAAATCCCTTGGCTTCCACAGACTCTATGACCTCCTGAGGTCTCTTCCAACCCCATGATTATATGATTTTAAACCCCCAGGGAAAAAGTACTCTCCTAACCAACAAAAATACTAACATTAATTTTTTGGGAGCTATGAAGAGGTTTTAGAAAGCAAGCGTGTTGTTTTTTAAACAAAGTGACAGCCATATGTTAAAGGCTTCATATTCTACAATTTTCCAAGACTATAAATGGTGTAGCAGGCCAGAACAAATACTTTCACATTGGACTAGACTAGAGTGTCTTGGGTATATGTGTGCCTAATGTTAGGAGACTGAAAAACTACAGCCATCTTAGTATGGGTTGATAAAAGAATTGAGCTTTTCCATCCCACCATAGGAATCAATGAGCAGCATAGTGCAAATTAATATTTTTCTAGTGTTTTTTCTCTATACTTGTGGTGTACAAATAGTAAGATTAATTTTAACTAGCGAAGTACAGTGACTGTTTACTTACACAATTGTCTAGTATATGATTTTTAATAGAGATGTGCATTTTTGGAGTAATTTATGTGGTAGTTTTACAGTATACAATAGTCAAAACATTTTCGTATATCCACAGCCTAACTTTGCTCATGGCTTAGCTTCTCTGCAAATTCCCCATGGTGCAACTGTGAAACGTATGTACATCTACAATGGAAACAGCCTGCAGGATACCAAGTATGTGTAGCTGAATTGTCAAGGATAGTTAACCAATATCTAATTTTTTTCTCCTTCACTTGTATTTATTGTTTAGACTTAAGTGAATGCTTAAGTGAATGCTAAATGCATAAGAAATTCAGTGTCCAGTTCCGTTTGTTCCTTTTTTGGATTTTGTGTTCAGATATGTCTAGATATTGAGCATGTACTTTTGGATGAAACCAGATTAAATTCTGATCTGATTTATGGTATGAATCTGGTGTAGAATAGGGATGCTAGTGTGTAATTGAATAGTCATTACCACATGAAATTGGTAATGCTGCTGCCCCTCTATCAGAGGCAGCAGCATAGGGTGGCAGGCGGGAGTTGATCCGTGAAAGGAACCGGTTTAAAAACTGGCTTCCAATACAGACTGGCTCCGCCTGCCACTCTTTGCTGCTGCCTCTAATACAGAGGCAGCAGCACAGAGTGGCAGCAGCTGACAGGGGGGACCGCCCGCCAACAGGGGTGCTGCTGCAGAGCAGCCTCTGTCCAGGGCGGGCCCAGGTTTGCTGTGGACAGAGCCGTCTCTGTGGGATGCTAGAGCAGCCTGTCTGCGGAGTGCTTGGGCCCCCCCATGGACAGGGGCTGCTGCTGTGGAGCAGTGTCTGTTCATGGCATCCCTCCCTACCCGCACCCACACTGCTGCCTCTGATACAGGCAGCAGTGCCGGAGGGGGCAGTTGGCACCACAGATCCCCCAGCACCAGCTCCTGCCTGCCTCACCCCTCACCTCTGTAGGAGACAGCAAGGTGGGGAGAGACATGTGGGTCCACAAAGCCAGTCTGTGTAGGGATGAGAGGCAAGCAGATTCTAAGATCATGGGGAGTCAGCTTTTAAGCCAGCTCCTCACAGGCACTGGCTCCCACTCCCTCCCCCTTGCTGCCTCTGATGCAGAGACAGCAAGGGGAAGAGTGCATGTTGTCGACAAGATTAACCAATAAGCCTGGGCTTATCCGTTAATCGTGTAGTCATCCACACGTTGCCGTCCCTAGTGTAAAATCCATTTAGATTAGTTGCACTAAGACAGTGGTTCTGAAAGTGTGGTCTGTAGAGCTGTGAGCTCAGGGCTTGCCACACCCGCTCCCTTCAGGAGGGAGCCTGCTTTGATACTGCAGTTCTGCAGCCTCCTCCCCCTCTGAGGCTGGAGTGCCAGCACCATCTTCCCGCTGCTAGGAGGCGCTCACTGCAGGGGAGGGGAGCCTTGAAGGTTGGATTTGGCTTGCGGAGGCAGGAAGCAGCTGCATGTGGTGCTGGTCCCCTTTTTCCCAGCTGGGTGAAATGGCACCACAGGAAACTGCTCTCTTGGAAGTTTTCTCCGCTGCTCCCATTGGCCGGAATCATGACCAATGGGAATAACAGGGCAGTGCGTGGGAACAGCAGGAGGCACAGAGCAATGTAAGCACCCCCCCATCCCTTCTCATGTCCAGACCCTGCATCCCCATTGTCCTCATGCACCCTCTCCCACTGAGACCCTACACCCCCACCCCTTTCCTGCACCCTCCCTGCAACCCAAACCCTCCCTCTCAGCTCCAGCACGCTCCCTCCTACTCAGATTCTGCAGCCCCACCCTATTCTTGCACCTCCCACCCAGACTCCCCATCCTCAGCCCACTCTTGCGCCCTACACCCATTTTGTCATCATGGGTGATTGGCTGATGGTCTGTGTTGAGCAGGATGGGCCGCGCACCCAAAAGTTTGAGAACCACTGCACTAAGGTAAGGCAATGTGTACACTATGGCATGGACTAAAAGGTTCCTAGTTGATGTTACTCTTCTTTAAAATAGGAGTATGTTAACATGAATTGGCTACTTTTTTAGTTCATGCCAGCAGCATCCATAGGTGGTAGATCAGAGTGCAGCAAGTCAACTACAGTTCACACCCTTGAAGTGTAAAGAACCCTTAAATCAAGTGAGATCAAAATTAAGCTCAGGAGGTAGGTGGGATAGTATAGAAGAAGCAAGGGAAATTGAAGAAAAATTTTCTCCAACAGTGACAATATACATCCCAAGAGTGAGGAGACAAGCTATATTTAAAAAAGCCATTATTCTTACACAGTTTGTGTGTACACAAGGAACTATATTTTTGCTATGTGTTTGTATAGAGTCTATCACAATGGGGCCTTAATTTCTGATTAGAGCTCTTAAACTCGACTGCAATACAAATAATAAAATAGCAATCTCTGTGCTTATTTAGCGTATGAATAATTTGTTATATATGGTTTGTTTTCATCTCATTGATTCTCAGTGGATGGGGGTGTCTAATTCCCCTAAGTATGAATGGGAGTTACTTGCATAAATCCTTTATGACTAGGACAACGAATCCTCATGTCTTTTTCCCTGTCTAAAAGAAATGTTGCATTTAATTTTGACATAGCATTTTATTGCCCCATATTAAGCGATACTGTACTGTTACAATTACTTCAAGGTTCAGAACTTTGAAAGTATTTTTCCCCTGGGGGCTTAGAATCATACAGTCACAGGGTTGGCAGAGACCTCAGGTGGTCATAGAGTCCAACCCCCTGTTAAAAGCAGAACCAATCCCAACTAAATCCAGCCAGAGCTTGTTCAAGCCAAGACATAAAAACATCTAGGAACTGAGATTCCACCACTTTCCTAGGTAATCCATTCCAGTCTTTTACCACCCTCCTAGTGAAATATTTTTTTTCTAATATCCAATCTAGACCTCCCCTACTGGAACTTGAGACCATTGCTCCTCGTTTTGTTATCTGTCACCACTGAGAACAGCTTCTCTCCATCCTCTTTGGAACCCCTCTTCAGATAGTTAAAGACTGCTATCAAATCTCCCCTCACTCTTCTTTTCTGAAGACTTGTAGTGAGCAGTGGTGGCCGCTCACAGCCCTGAGGGAGAGGAACCTCCCTCTAAGCGTGGGTGAGCCAAGCCCAGTCCTGCCCCTTTAATTCCCTGGGAGCCCAGGGGTGGGGCAGGTAGGATAAAAGTCCAGCCTAGGAGTTCAGTAAGGCCCCAGCCACTGGAGGAAGCAGAAGCCTGCCCTGAGCTCCCAAGCCAGGAGGGCCCTGAGGACCTTGCAGAGGCTGAGGACCAGCCCGGACTGCCGGGCCCCCACTTCTAAGAGGAGACCTTCTTTACCCTGCCCGAGGGTGCAGACTACGATAACCCTGAGAACCAGCAGCTCATGTGGGGCCAGGTAGATACTGAAAGGGAGTCAGGAAGTGGTCCAAGGGACGCCGATGACTGTCAGGCTGATCTTATAGCACTTTAGAGAGTGTCAGAGTGTTGCAGGCCAGCTCCTCACTAACCCCAATGGCAGTCAGGGCTTCTGCTGCTAAGGCCCTGCGCTGGAAATCGGTGGAGTAGGCAGGGCCCACATCCCCCCTGCCACCCCACATAACAGGTGGCAGTCTTCCCCTCCCCTCTCTTGCCTGTGGGACTGCGTTTGTGTTACTGCCCCGCCTTGAACCACAGCTTGGGCCTTACAAACTGTGGGACTGTGTGTGTTTTGCTTATGGTTGCCAGATGGTTTCAACAAAAATACCGAACACACTTGACGTTACATCACAGTCTACATTGCATCTTATTTAGAAAATACCAGACATTTATATTTTCTCGTTTATATTTTCTGTTTGTTCCCCAAACAGAAAGCTCAAATACTGGACTGTCCGTTTCAAAACCAGACACCTGGCAACCCTAGTTTTGCTGCCCTACCCTGAACCAGGGCCTTACTACCTGTGGGACTGTGTTTGCTTTGCTGCCCTGCCCCAAAGTCTGGGCCTTACTAACTGTGGGACTGCACTTGTGTTGCTGCCCACCCTGTACTTATGGCCCCAGGGTTTAAAGGGAGCCGCTGGACATTTAGTTCCAGGCCTGAGCACAGATCAGGGATCCAGGACCCAAGCAGCTGGCTTACACAACTAAACAGGCCCAAATCACTCAGCCACTACTCATATGTCATGTGCTCCAGCCCCCTAATAATTATAGTTGCCCTCCGCAGGGCTCTCTCCAGTGCGTCCACATCCTTTCTGTAATGGGGGCTCTAGAATTGGATGCAGTACCCCAGATGTGGCCTCACCAATGCCAAATAAATGGGAATAATAATTTCCCTGGATCTGCTGGCAGTGCTCCTACTAATGCATCCCAGTATGCCATTAGCCTTCTTGGATACAAGGGCACATTGTTGACTCATATCCAGCTTCTCATCCACTGTAATCCCTGGATCCTTTTTTGCCAAATTGCTACTTAACCAGTTGGTTCCTAGCCTGCAGTGCCCTTTAACTATGGCAGTATCCTCTGATTAGCATGTTGAATCCACATCAAGTGCTTATCTTAACAATGCAAAAAGTATTCATCACAGAAAGCAGACGTCCATATTAATACAAACACACATTTTTATGACATGAACAAAATCTATTTTGTTCCCCCATTAGCATTTCAAATTAGATATTTAATTTTCTCTGCTCCTCAGCTTTTGGTGTGTGTGTGGATATACTTCATCATATGTAGCATAATAGCAAAGCTTTTGCCTCAGATGGAAGTGCATTATAGATAATGACAAGGAGTTCACAGTAATATCACTTTTTATTAGTTAGTTTTTATTAGATAGTTAGCTTTTTTTTATTAGATAGTTCGTTACTTGTTAATTAGTTAGTTAGTAAAAAAAAGAAAGAAAGACGTTTTTCTAGGCAATTTCTGTCAGTGCGGCAGTTTGCCTAGGTAACTGAATCATGCCTGGGACACCATGATTCGAAAGGTGCTCCCAGTGCAAAGAGGCTATGCCAACCTCAGACGGACACACAGTATGTGTCAGTTGTTTGGGGGAGTCCCATGTACCCCCAAAATGCGTCCATTGCCTCAAGTTAACCCCGCGAGCGCACAGGGACAGGGATCTCCGGCTCAAGCTCCTCCTTTGCGATAAGGCTCTTCAGCCGCCACAAACTACTCAGGAGCAAACAGTTGCCCCAAAGAGAAGGGCGCTATCCCCAGGGGTGCCTAAAACAAAAAAGAAAAAGACGTCTCCCACCCGCTCGCTCCCCGCTGTCCCCCTGCCGCGGGTGAGCCAGGAGAAGTCGGAGGCGAGACCGGCATCTACAACGCTTCCCCGGTCTGTGGCAGAACAAGCAAAGCCGCACACAGCTTCGGCTTCTGAAGCGGCTGCCCCTACTCATAGGGAGCATGTACATACCAGAACCCCTTCGGGGGATAAGCTGGCCATGCCGCTAATGCCACCAACGAAACCGCCTGACAGGGAACTGTCCCCGCAGCAGCGGGACGAGTCAGAAGCGGCAACGGGGTCGGGACAGCTGAGAGAGGCATCCCCGACCCCTCCACAGGAGCGAGCATTGGCCGCTCCAGAGAAGACACAGCGGCACCGAGAGACCACGGCTGGGGCCGCTGAGAAAGGCATCCCCGACCCCCCCCACAGGAGCGAGCACTGGCCGCTCCAGAGAACACACAGAGGCACCAGGAGACCACGGCTCACCGCGTGGTGCCGACAGGGCAGATGGCACCGCAGGAGAGGAATTCCCCCGGAGCTCCCCCGCTCCGTGCCAGGGGAAAGCATTAACCCGGTGCTGTTTGACAGCTCGGTGCCATGCGAAAGCTCTCACTCCCTGCCTAGGGAAATCATTAACTCCCAGCCGAGAGCTGCTCAGTCCTCCCACCCCTCAGGCTCCGAGATTGCAATCTCTTCCTTCAAGGCATTCCCAGCCAGCGTGTGCTGAGCATCACCATGGCAACACAGCAGGAGACCTGACAGCTGCCCAGCAGTCCCTGGCAGCTGTTCCTACTAACACAGCAAGGAAATCAGCACCTAGGTACCATTCCAGGTCACCTTCACTGTACTTCTCACTGGAGCCTTCCCCTCCTGCATGTCACTCAGACATGGGGGCTTATTCTTCAGCGTATAATAGCGATCATAGACGCTCCTGCTCGAATTACTCTTATAGACGGGGCTCTCTGCACAGATCTCGCTCGCCGACTTGCTTCACTGTCCTTCTCACCAGAGCCTTCCCCTCCTGCATGTCACTCAGACAGGGGGGCTTATTCCTCCGCGTATAATAGCGATCATAGACGCTCCTGCTCGAATTACTCTTATAGACGGGGCTCTCCACATAGATCTCGCTCGCCGACCTACTCGCCTCCCAGATCATATCGGAGCAGGCACAACAGCAGATATACATCAAGGAGATCATCTCCTGATTATGATTATCATACTCACAGGAGTTATCATGCCCCTATAAGGAAGGGCAGATCACACTCCCATTCCCACTCTTGCTGCTGCCACCAGCCGTATCATAGACGGGCTTCACCACATGCCCCTGAATATCAAAGACTTCATTCACCGAAACCGCCCCTTCCCACGGCACCCTCAACATCAGTCCTCTCTGACCCGGAGGAGGGTCAAATTTCGGATACAGGCGAGCACACGCCTGCAGCTTCCCCTGGGGATGTCCAATCACCCTCCCCAGATGATGCAGTTTTCGTGGGGGATCCTTCACCACCGGATGATGCCCGTGAATTCCAAGACCTATTCAAGAGGGTGGCACAGTCACAGGAAGTCCAACTAACAGATGTGCAAGCGAAACAACATAAGTTGTGGAAGAACTTACACCCTAGGCATCAATCCAGAACGGCCTTACCGCTAGACGAGGCAATTCTAGAGTCGGCTTCAGAGATCTGGAACACGCCAGCCTCAGTTACCCCATCGTGTAAAAGGGAGGAGAAAAGATACTTCATAGCAGCCAAAGGGGCAGAGTTCCTGTTCACTCACCCCCAGCCAAATTCACTGGTGGTGGACGCAGCCTTGCAGAGAGCAAAGAACCCACAGGTCAGAAATTCAGCAGCTGACAAGGATGCAAAAAAGCTAGACACCTTTGGACGGAAGGTGTATTCTTCATCCACGCTTCTCCTGCGTATCGCTAATTATGCGGCGCTCTTGTCCAATCATAGCTTCGATAACATTGCAAGATTGACGGAAATTGCACAACGAATCTCCGAGGCCGATAGGGTTTCCTCCGCGAGATAATTCAAGAGAAATATGCGTGTGCCAGAGCAGGTCTGCAAATTGCCAGTGACATGGCTGACACAGCGGCGAGAACAGTTGCTACGGCAGTTTCCATGCTAAGGGCCTCATGGCTAGCAACGGCCGCAGTACCTAGAGTTACAATCCAAGGTGGAAGACCTTCCATTCGATAGGATTAAGCTCTTCGCGGAAAAAACGGATGAGGTACTCCATACAGGGAAGGACTCGCGAACAACCTTACATACTCTCGGAATGTACGCCCCACCTTTCCGCCGCAGACAATATTTTCCGTTCCAAAAACGGTATGACTATCAATTCCGGAGACAACAAAACTGTCCTTACGATAAAGGTCACCCTAGGCAGAAACCGCAGCGCAGACGTCCTCAGCCGACTAGAGTGAACAATGCCGGGGCGCCCAAACAGCAGGTTTGACTCCCATGTCGAGGGCATGCTGAACACTCCAATCGTTGCCAGAGATGCCAAGCCCATTTTTCATCACAGACTGCAACCCTATTATCATCAGTGGGCTGCTGTAACATCAGACAAATGGGTGTTGGAGGTAATAAGATCCGGTCTCACCATCCCATTCACATCCCTCCTTCCTACCACCCCACCATCCCCGTCCCTTTTCAGGGACCCTTCTCACGAGGACCTCCTGCAACAAGAGGCCTATCGCCTACTATCTATCGGGGCGATAGAGAAGGTCCCAGAGGACTTCAAGGGAAAAGGGTTCTATTCACGTTATTTCCTAACACAAAAGAAAACGGGGGGATGGAGACCCATTCTGGATCTACGCCAGTTGAATCGCTACCTCAGAAAACAGCGATTCAAAATGACGATGCTCATGACAATCATCCCAGCTCTGGACAACAACGATTGGTTCGCGGCCCTCGACCTACAGGATGCGTACTTTCATATAACGATACATCCCGCACACAGACGATTCCTGCGCTTCATCATAAAGGACAAGCATTTCCAATATCGTGTCCTCCCATTCGGTCTCGCTTCGGCCCCACTGCTATTCTCAAAGACCCTCGCAGTCGTTGCGGCGCACCTCCGGCGAATGCGAGTCATCATATTCCCTTATCTGGACGACTGTTTGATAAAGGGCAC